GTGGGCAGCCGCGCCCAGCCGGCAGTCCCCTGGGGGCCTTGCTCCAGAGACCAGGTGGCTCATGTGGTGGCAATATCCAGCCCCCAGCCTCCAGGGAGCGCCTCCAACCCGAGCTCCTTTGAGCTGGATCCGGCCAGTGACCTGGGAGAGCGAGGCCGGTAATGAATGTGAACTTGCAGAGCCCAGAATCGGGTCCCCGAACTTTGGTGTGAAATGGGCGGCCTGCAGGGAGGAGCCACTCTGCACCCGTGTTCCTCCTTCGACAGTGATTCCAGGGGGACATGCAGGTGGGCAGCCATGTTTCCTCTCCGTCTCATCTGCAAGAGGGCTCGTTTGGGATCTGTGGGGTGAGCCCAGCTTGCCACCTGCACATGGGAGAGTCCCAGCCCAGTCTCTGGCCTCGGCCCTGAGCGGGCCCCCCTCGCTGTTCCATGCCAAGGCCTGGGCCAGATCCCACACTCCGTCTGAATGGAGAAGAGGGCACGAACACCAGCAGCCCGCCACCAGCAGTTTGGGGGAGACTGGTACCCTTCTTGGGCCCTGGCCTGGCTGCACCGTGAGGCCAGGAGGGAAGTCCTTTGCCAGGGAAGCAGGGGGCGGGCTGAGGGACTCTGGAGGAGCCTGACCTCCCTGACCTCTAGCCACCCAGGAGGCACCGGTGCCTGGGCAGAGGGATGGCTGGGGGACTCGCCCTGCCTGAGGGTTCCTGGGCTCCTAGAGGTTCCATGTGCTTCACACACACGACCTGGGTGGGAGGATGAGGGGACGATGCTCATTCCTCAACAGGTAACTAAGCCTCAAGGACAGGAATTTCCACCTCCCTGCCCAGCCATCTCTGAAGGGTCTGCGGAGTTGAGGGGAACCTGTTTGTAATAACTTAGTAAAACCCCACTGGGTTCTGGGGCCCTCCCTGCCTTCTCTCATCTTCCTCCCTCCTCACCTCACGCAGCCTGAGGCCTGCCTCACACCCCTGCCTCCTGGGACCACCCACCTGCAAAGTCAGGCCTCTCTCCTCGCCCCTGCTCTGCTCCACTGCAGGGGGATGGGCCACAGAGCCCGCTGGGAGCCAGGACGCCGAGGAAGCTGTGTGAGGACAGCCAAGACCCACACCGCTGCCGCTGGCAGGACCAAGCCCACGGGAGGGGAGGCCCAGGCTTCCTGGGAAGGCCATCTCTGAGCAAAGGAAGGAGACCCACTCAACAACCATTTTCCTGTTGTTGTTCATCTTCACCTGAGAATATTTTCCCATTCATTTTAAGAGAGAGTGAGGAGGGTGGGGATGAGACAGAGAGAGACACATCAATGGGGAAAAAAAACACACATCAATTGGTTGCCTCCCACACACGCCCCTGACAGGGGCTGGGGATGGAGCCTACTGTACAAGCCTGTGACCGGAATCAAACCTGGGACCCACTCTATCCAATGAGCCGAACCGGCTAGAGCTCAACAACTATTTTTTGCATATACACTGTGTGCCAGGAGCTAGCTGTCCCAGGCACAATTGTGTGCAAGACAGGCAGTCCCTGCCTCCTGGAGCTCACCAGGAAGGGTCAGCATTGGCCAGGCCTGCCAGTCGGCTCCTGAGCCACCACCGAGGAGGAGCTGAGCCTCAAGAGGAAGCGTGAGTGAGGAGTGAGCCTGGACAAGGCCCAGGGCCCCCGCCCCCAGTCACGCTATGACTCCAGCCCAGCCATCTTCCCAGAGGACCTACCAAGAGCAAGGATCCCTGTGCTGAGTCCCCTTCCACCTCCCCATGCCCCTCTCCTCCTGTCTCCTTCCTCCAGGCCCGTCCCAGTGGGTGTGGCTGACTGTCTGCTCCATTCCTGACCTTAAGTCTTGAGTCAGTGCCTGCCAGGAGGTTCTGACAACCTGGGGTCTTGATGCCCCTGGGGACAGACGCTCTTGGGAATGCTGAGCCGAGTTCCAACAGCCCAGAGAGGGGAAACGCCAACAGGGAGAGGCTGTGGGGGGAGAGGGAGGGAGCTGACCTTCGACTGCAACTGCTGGGGTTAAACTATGATTTCATGTGTGTGCAAGCTTCAAGCAGAGAGCATGATGTACCTATTAATCTTCTCCCCTTCCTTCTCCCCTGGGCCCCACGGGACGATACCTCCTACTTAAATGCCTTATTAATCATTTACAACATCGCCGATAGGAGTAAGCTTCACAAAGTCAGACTGGAGAACCTTGCTTCACTTTCCCGGCTCTCCATCAGAGAGCTGCACATCTCACCGCGAGCTGGGAAAGGAGAGGGCTCTGTCCCCGGGGTCCTCTCACCCCCACTTAGGCTTTGCGTTCAGGTTACCTCACCCCTTGGCTGCCCTGAGGGTCTCCATGAGTGTCCCAGGTGCCCTGAGCATGGCTGAGATAGGGGTGAACAAGGGATGAACAGCTCCAAGGGCCTCGTCCTCCCCCACCCCCACCCCCACCTCTTGGCAGGCATCGGCAAGAGGCCAATGCCTCCCCCCTCTCCCTGTGCCTGTCTGGGTCCTGGAGCCTGCTCTCAGGACCAGGCCTCCTCTCCCAGCCCTTCTCTCTCTCCATTTCCTGCTGCTGGGCCTCTCCCTCGTGAATTCTTAGCACCCGCTTCAGTAGGCACTGATTTGGAGGAAGCCTTTATGCGTTGCCATCGATTGCGAAAATAACAACCGTGAGCTGAAGCTTGAATGTGATAAAACAATAGCTCCGGCTCACAGAATGCCAGCCTCCCAGAGGAATTCCGAAGGCTTAGCAAGTTCTTTTTCCCACAGGCAACTGCTGCCCTGATCCTGGGGAAAGAAAGGCAGAGCGGAGTTAATGTTTGTGTAGGGGATGGGCAGGTACTGGGGAGGGCAGGAAGGAGGACTTAGCACTCCAACATCAGCAAATGCATCTCCTCCTTTGGAGATACCCACATCAGCCCAGCTGAGCCCGGAGTGAGGAGCAGCAGACACAGGGATTGGCTCAGCGCCCAAAGCCACAGGTGCGGAGCCTGCCCTGCGCCTCCAGATGTCAGTGGCCTCCTCCTGCCTCTGTCACCTCCCCGCTCCCCACTGCTCCCAGCCCCCTTCTGAGCCTGACTGTTAAAAGCCTGAGGGTGGCCCTAGCTGGTATGGCTCAGTGGATAGAGTATGGTCTATGGACTGAAGGGACCCTGGTACGATTCCGATCAAGGGCACATGCCTGGGTTGCAGGCTTGATCCCCAGTAGGGTGCGTACAGGAGGCAGCCCATCAATGATTCTCACTCATCATTGATGTTTCTATCCTTCTCTCCCTCTCCCTTCCTCTCTGACATCAATAAAAATATATATATTAAAAATCCTAACTTATAAAGAGGGAATATGCTAATTGACCCTCACGCCATCACAAAGATGGTGGCACCCACACCCAATAAGGAAGGAATATGCTAATTGACTGCCCCGCCCTCAAAGATGGTGGCGTCCACAGTCACAAGATGGTGGTGCCCAGTCTCTTCAGCCCTGCCGGGGCTACAAGCATATGGCAAGGCTGGGCCCGCTCCAAAGCAGGCCTGGCTGTTCCACATGCCTGCTTCCAGAATCCCCCAGTCCCCTCAGCCCCCCAGCTGCCCAGGGTCGGCCCAAGGTGCAGGCAAGCCTTGGATGGCAGCTGCCCAGCTACCCAGGGTCACCTGAGGCTCAGGTAACCAGGGTCAGCCAAGGCTTGCACATCTGGCAGTGGCAGCTTCAGAGGTGTGATGGGGGCGTCGCCTCCCCCTGATCACCAGGTTGCCTCCCGCCCTTGAGGGTTCCTGGACTGTGAGAGGGGGCAGGCAGGGCTGAGGGGACCCTGCCCCTCCAGTGCATTAATTTTCATGCACCAGGCCTCTAGTAAATAACTAAAAGCCTGAGGGTGTCCCTCTCAGAAACTGGAGACTGGGTGCCCAAGGACACCTTGGTCCCCTTCCTAACAGACCTGCTTGCCCTAGCCAGTCAACTCTTCCCGCTTCTCCTGGGAGAGTGGCCATCCCTCTTTCTGGGCAGCCCTGCTGGCAATAGCTGGCCCTGCTGCTCTGAGCCGCCAACTTGCTTTATTGCCCGGCTCCTGGTCCCAACAGGAAGTGCTGTGTCTGTCCCTGGGCTCCCCTGCTCCCCACCCATCACCCTTGCAAGCCCTTCCACACCCTCCCCTGCCGGCCACTCAGCCTCACTCCCACTCCTCCTCTGGCTGGATGCCTGCATCTCCCTGCCCGCTGTTGGAACCCTGCTCCCACTCAGACCAGTGGCTCTCTCTTCCTGTGTGTGCAGCCCTCGGTCTGACCTGTCTCCCCGTCCTAGACTGAATTACTCACTAGGAGGCCCGAGCTTGCAAACTGACTGCATAAAACCAGCGAGGGCTTGCTGAGCTGTTTCAGGAGCACATATGGATGCTCTGAGCTACTTTTCCAACTTGCTAAAATCATGACAGATAGGAAAGGGGAGCCATGCCGAGGACTGGAGACAAAGGGGCTCTGTATTTGAACCTGGAGTTTGGACAACCCACCCCCCAACGCCACCCTAGGGATTCGGGCCACTATCCTGTCTCCAGGGTTCCTCTAGCCCCTCTTTTCCGTTCCTGCCCCATAGCCACCTCTGGAAAGTCGTCTCTGATGAAACCTGCTTTGTTCTAACTGGCTCTGCTCCTCTGCTCACAGGAGGAAGATTTCCTCTCTGTGTATTGCTTGTTTTCCATGCTTGCAGCAGGTCTGAATCAGCTCTGCTCCCCAGGCCATGGGCCTCCTGGTCCCCCAACCAGTGCCCCCTCCCTCCAGGGCCCCGCAATCCTGTCCCGGCAGCGGGTGCAGGACAGGGAGCCCAGTGTCTGGACAACGCGGCCTTTGAGACCTCTGCTGCTGGTCCGCAGAGGACTCTGGTGGAGACTGGGACACCCGGGAAATACAGGAGGAACAATGACATAATCCTGGAGCCTCTTGGGTTCCAAGAGTTAAGAGCTTTTCCCAGAAACATCTGCCTAATTACAGAGTGGACTCCGTCTGGTTTCTGAGGTAAGAGACGCGTCTCACTCATTTCCCTGGACTCCCTGCGGAGAGCCCTTCTGCGCCATGGAACAGAGGCACACGGGACAGCGGCACAGAGGACAGCGGCACACGGGACAGCGGCACACGGAACAGAGGCACACGGGACAGCGGCACAGGGGACAGCGGCACACGGGACAGCGGCACAGGGGACAGCGGCACACGGGACAGCGGCACAGGGGACAGCGGCACACGGGACAGAGGAACACGGGACAGCGGCACACGGGACAGCGGCACACGGGACAGAGGAACACGGGACAGAGGCACACGGGACAGCGGCACACGGGACAGAGGAACACGGGACAGCGGCACACGGGACAGCGGCACAGGGGACAGAGGAACACGGAACAGAGGCACACGGGACAGAGGCACACGGGACAGCGGCACACGGGACAGCGGCACACGGGACAGCGGCACAGGGGACAGAGGCACAGGGGACAGAGGCACAGGGGACAGCGGCACAGGGGACAGAGGCACAGGGGACAGAGGCACACGGAACAGAGGCACACGGGACAGCGGCACACGGGACAGCGGCACACGGGACAGCGGCACAGGGGACAGCGGCACACGGGACAGCAGCACAGGGGACAGAGGCACACGGAACAGAGGCACATGGAACAGAGGCACACGGAACAGAGACAGTGCGGCAAGGGCAGTCAAACTGATGCTCTGGGAAAGGGGGAGGGGTGTCAAAAGGAGACTGGAAGAGAGCAAGAGAGGAGGAAAGGGGGAGGTGACATGGAAGATAATGGAAAGAAGGGGAGTTCAGGGAGGGAGATAAAAGGTAAGAAGAAGAGAACAGAAAGGAGACAGATAAAGACTGGTCAAAAAAACACTGGTCAAAAAAACACTGGTCAAAAAACAATGGAGCTATGACCACATCAGAAAGTAATGACTCAGAAACACAGGCTGAGACAAGGACACTGTAAGGACTTGCCCATCAGAAGCTTCAAAAAATGTCCTCAGGATGGGACTGTCCCCGAGGGGGCTGGGAGCTTCGGTGACTTTCTGTTCCTTAACTTGTTTCAACTTGTAAGGCCCCCGAGGAAGCAGACACTGCTATGGATGCCTTGTTACAGACCAGGAGGGGCAAAATGACAGGCCACCCGGCTGACCCCAGCAGGGCTAAGGTACAAATCCAGAGCTGACTCTAAGGCTTGTGCTCTTTGTGCTCTTTCTGTCGGCTTCCCCGCTGCTCCCCAGCCCGGAGAGCACCCTGGTCTGTCCCGCATCTCACCACGCACAGACTCGGTGCCTCTGGGTGCCAGCACCGTCCAGGTCGGTCGAGGACTCTGCCCCACCGAGTTCACAGCCTGGCCGAGGTGGCTAAGTTCCTCTAAGGTCTCCCGGCTTGGTCTGGACTCTCCAAGCCAACAGGATCCCCCTAACATGGAAATAATTGCCCCTTTGCTCCAAGGTCATGCTCAAGTGGCCAGCAGGAATGGGAGGCGTGTCAGCCTCTTTCTTGGTCACCTGTTCTAGATCTGTCAACTCCCGGACAGGAGCTTTTTCTCATGGAAATTCTTGTCCCCAGTTCTTCCTAAGCAGTTGTCTTGGGAGGATGGAATAAAGGAGGACAAATTGATGGGGGTGGGGAGTAGGAGGGATAGGAGTGACGGGAACAGAAAAGAGGAATCTGAGTGGTGACTGAGCAACAGCTCCAGGGGCCGCTGCCCAGAGCCCGGAGCCCAGCTCCTCCCTCCTAGGAGTCAGGACTCAGAAGAACGGGAGAGCGGGAACTTACCTGTCCGAGGTGGGAAAAGGCAGGGAGCAGGACAAGGCTCAGGCTGTGTTGGGAATTCCCTCCTTAGAGTTTTAGACTTAGACTGGATTCCATAGATTACTGACGTGTTATGTGGAGACTGGGGGAAGGATTCAATGAGATCTCAAGCTCACCCAACAAAAATGCACCGCGAGTGACTGAGACACACAGAAAGGTCAAGATCCTGAGCATGAGCAGCCCTTCTTAGTCCTAGAATGCCACTGAGCACCTGCTCCCTCCCCCACTGACTCCTCCTCCTCCTTCCCCAGGGGGCCACTGACTCCTCCTCCTCCTTCCCCAGGGGGCCACTGACTCCTCCTCCTCCTTCCCCAGGGGGCCACTGACTCCTCCTCCTCCTCCCCCAGGGGGCCACTGACTCCTCCCCTCCCCCAGGGGCCACTCGTCCCTCTGGTATTTACCACCCTCAGGGGGATTCCCCACCCAGAATTCCTGGTTGCCTGAGGGGAGTGGGCCAAAGAGGTCCTTTGGCCAGCCTTTCACATCAGGACTCCATTCTGGCTGTGTGCATAGGGCTCCCTCCTGTTCTCTCTCTTTCTCTCTCTCTCCCTTCCCAGATGGCTGAGCAGACAATCGATATTTATGTGAATCCACCAGGCCTGCTGGGCAGGGAGGCCCAGCCAACAGGCAGAGTGGCCATCCCAGTGCCAGCAGGTTTTATCTCAGACACAAAGCAGTTGAGTCAGGTGCCTGGGGGCTCAGGCCAGGCTGAAGTCGGTGTGAGCCAGGGGAGGGCCAGGCCTGTAAGTCCAGTGAGTCAGGTCTGAGCTCAGGCGGCATCTGCCAGAGGTTACAGCTCCTGCGTACTCCGGTGCTTGGCAGGGTGAACCTTAGTGCGGGGAGAACACTAAGCAGTTTCTTCCCTGCCCCGTGCAGCGCAGCCCCGCAGCTGCTTGGCGGAGGGGGTTTGGGAGAGGGACCCAGGTCACCCAAGGCCCCAGTGTGCCCTCCAGCAGTCCTCTGCTCCCAGCGCACTGCCTGGCACTGTCCGGCATCCCACTGGGGTCACCCTGTCCTCTCAACGTGGTCTCTCACTCTGGCCTCCCTGGCCAGGCTCCACCCCCTCAGGAAGCCTTTCTTGGTTAGGCCTACCTGGCCCTGGGCACTCCGCCTTCAGTGCGGGCACCATCAGCGGGCACAGTGAACACACGGCCTCCTGGGCTAGGACCGCTCTTCCCGCCACACTCCGCTTCCAGAGAGCAGAGACCAGGCCTGTTCCTCCCCGGCGTCTTTCACCATTTCCACATGGCTCCTGAGTGTCTGTTGAATGATCTCTGTCCCACATCGGCCTGAGGGCTGCTCAAGGAGGAGGCCACCCACGTCCTATCTTTTCTTGGACTCCCCACCAGGACCAGTAAAGGATCATCCATGCCTGATTGCTCAGTGAGTGGGGAAAGTCCCAGAGATCTCTCTCCAGAGAGCCCCTGGCTGCTCCTCCGGCCACCCACTGCTCAACCCCCCGCCCCCCCCCCTGCTCCAGGGGCTCCCCACCCACCCAGGAGCAGCAGCGATAGTTTCATCAGGCACCTCTGAGCCGCTGGCCGAACCCGCTGTGGTTTGATGGCCTAAGGCGAGAGTCTGTCTACCCATCGCCAGTCTCCACAGAGTTGGTATCCAAACCGTCCTGAGATACCACCAGCAGCCACACGCAGCTTTCCTGCTTCCATGCTAACACCAGGCTTCTACCAGACGTTTTCTCTCCACAGGTGCGTCTCCATGCTGCAGGTGAGGAAACAGGCTGAGAGAGATGGAGTGAGCTCATAGCTTGGACTCCAGCCTCCCAGGTGGCCCCACACCCCTCTGTGCCTCTCTCGTCCTCGGTACAGGCTCCCACAAAGCTCAGCTTTCAGGAAAGGCAGTGCTGCCCCTGAGCATCGAGAAATGTCTTTGAGGACAGCTGAACACTCCTCGCAAGAAAGAAAGCTGAAGGGCCTTAAGGTCTGTGCAGCCTGGGGTTGCCCCAGGTCCCGGACAGCAGGGATCTTGTGTTGGGCCCGGCAGCTCCCGATGGACCAGCGCTGCCCAGTCCGGAGGCGCTGCTGCTGAGCCAGCCGTCAGTCGCAGGCGCTCCTTGCAGCCTCCCACCCATCGGCACCCAGAGCACCCAGCTCTCCTGGTCTCCCAGGGCCCACGTGGTTCCAGCCACCACATTGTGAGCACTTAGCACAGACAGGCCTTCTGCTAGGCCCGCGTGTCTTCCCACTGAGAGCCCAGGAGGAAGGGGAATCTCTATTTACATATGAGTCAACTGAGACTCAACAGTGTTACGTAACTTGTCCAAAGATTTGTAGCTAATAAGTGCCAGCACGTATACTGAAATCCACGTCTTTCTAGTGCCATTACCAGCCGTCTCTCCGCTATACCGCTTACTGCAACCGTTACCTCCGCCTTCCACCTCACCTACCAGAACCTTTTATTGCTTACTTGTAGCCCTGTGCACAAATTCACATGCCAGTAGCTCGCTGCTGCTCTCCAGTAGCTCTCTGCCCACTGCCCCGCCCTCCTGTACCTCCTCCCTCCCCCCCCTCAACGGTTGCTGTCCTGCCCCCTCCTGTAGCTCTTCTATCCGCTTGTAGCTGTCCCCACCCTCCTGCCGATCCGTGATCTGGTCATTACGTGGTCGGTCATTATGCTTCTGGTGTAATGACCATTTGCATATTACATTTTTGTTTATAGGATTTTTTAAAAATATATTTTATTGGGTTTTTTTTACAGAGAGGAAGAGAGAGGGATAGAGAGTTAGAAACATCAATGAGGGAGAACATCAACCAGCTGCCTCTTGCACACCCCCTACTGGGGATTTGCCCGCAACCAAGAGTACATGCCCTTGACTGGAATCGAACCTGGGACCTTTCAGTCCGCAGGCCGAAGCTCTAGCCACTGAGCCAAACAGGTTTCAGCTGTTTATAGGATTTTTAATCCTTACCCGAGGATGTGTCCTTCATTGATTCTAGAGAAAGATAGGAAGGGAGAGGGAGGGGAAGAGAGAGAAACATCGATTGGTTGCCTCCCTCACTTGCCCCAACTGGGGATGGAACCCACAACCTGGGTATGTGCCCTGACTGCAGATCGAAACTATGACCCTTCAGTGCACAAGATGATACTCTGACCCCTGAGCCACACCGGCCAGGGCCAGAACATTTATTTTTTTTTATTTCATTTTTTTCTATAGGTCAAATATTCCACACACAAAAAAAGTCCAGCACCCATATGTTACCAAAGAGCATGCCATGAAGTTTTCCTCCACATTTGATCACCAAAATGCAGTCCCTCTTCCCAGAAGCAATCCACATGGTCTGTTTCCCGTAGCCCCTTCCATATACACAGTCTGCAAGAGAGGTCATTGTATTTAAATGTTCTTTCTCCCACCCTTTTAAAGCAAATGACGGGATATTATTATTATGCACATTGTTCTGTGCTTGCTTTTTTTTTAATTTTTATTTTTTTTTGCTAAACAGTGTGTTCTGGGAACGATTCCATATCCACACACTCAATGCGAGCTATTTCTCTTGAGGGCTCCGCCATCCCATGGTCTACAAGTCCCTCTAACAGGCCCCTGTGGTGAGCTTTTACATCGCTTCCAATCCCGTGCCATGAAAAAGGTCACAGTGAGAAACTGTATATCACGGCCCTGTGCCCATGTGCAAGGACATCTGTAGGTCAATTAGACATGGAGTTGCTGAGTAAGGAGGCTCTGAAATGGAACATTCCGGGGAGAAGAAGGGGGTAGCAGAGCAGAATGGAGAAGGGCAGCCGGGTACCTCTCACCCTGGCTTTGTCACTTACCAGCTGTGTGACCCCCAACAAGATGTGTAAGCTCACCAATCCTTGGTTTCCTAGGCTGTTAAAGTATTTGCCTCCTTGCCCTGGCCAGTGACACTAGCTCAGTATCATTCCGTCCACCTAAATGTCACAGGTTTGATCCAGTTCAGGGCACATACCTAGGTTGCAGGTTCCATCCCCAGTTGGGGCTCATACAGGAAGGCAATTTATCATTCTCTCTCTCTCTCTCTCTCTCTCTCTCTCTCTCTCTCTCTCTCTCTCTCTTCCTAAAATCTATTAGCATGTCCTCTGGTGAGGATGTTTTTTAAGTATTTGCCTCCTTGTGGGGTAGCTGTGAGGGTTCAAGTAAAAGAGGTCATGTAGATAGAATGTCCGGCCAAAGCCAGCTCATGGAGGTATTGATGAGTTGGAGGTATTGATGAGTTGGAGGTATTGATGAGTTGGAGGTATTGATGAGGTGGAGGCATGATCATTTCCCCATTCCCCATTTCCCCCTTCCCCCGCAGCCACTGACCTGCAGTCCCTCTATTACCCCCTCCTCCTGCCTTCTCCATCCTCTCCCTATTGATGTGCTATGCTCCTCATGCCTCCTCATCCACCTGCCTGGGTGTGTCCCTTGCTCACCAGACAGGAAGGGGGGGGGGGGAGAGAGAGAGAGAGGGAGAGAGAGAGAGAGAAAGAGAGAGAGAGAGAGAGAGAGAGAGAGAGAGAGAGAGAGAAACATGTATGTGAGAGAGAAACATTGATCAGCTGCTCCCCTACACACTCTAACCAGAGTTGGGACCTGCAACCTCAGCACTTGCCCTGACCAGGGATCGAACCCACAACCTTTTGGTGCATGAGACCACGCTCCAACCACCTGAGCCACCAACGGGGTCCTCTCCCTCATTTCTGCAGCACCCTCCCTGCCCACAGCAGCCCTAGCTCAGCCCAAGCCGGTGAGGACCTGCTGGACTGAAACCAGCCCTGGGCAGGCCTCTACCCGGCTCCACCTCCCAGTTCTCCCAGTTCATCAAACAGAGACAGGGTCACCTCCAGCCCAGGCTGAGGCCGCCAGCCTCCCTCTCCACTGGCCGCTGGCGGATGCCTGGTGATCAGGAAAGGCTCCTGGCTGTGGTATAAATCCCCCATTCTGCACCCCCTTCTCCCCAGCCACCCACGCTCCTGAGCCCTGAGGGAAGCACTCGGCTGTTCCACCGCTGGGGAGGGAGGGGGTGGGCAAGCCTCTTGGGTCCCGGGCCAGCCCTCCCTCAAGTGTCCCCCCCAGGGACTGCACAGCCACCAGGGACGTGGTCGCTAGAGGCCGTTGCCTAGGCTGGCAGGAGGAAGTCATTTCGATTTCTCTAGGAGCATGAATGCTTTCTTAATTGCTGTCAGAGGTGGCTCCTCGGGAATGTGTTATGGATAGTGATTGCGATGAAAGAGGAACAAGGCCGCACTCTCCCCTCCGCTGGAGACTGTCCTCCCTCCCTGGCCCTCCCGCCCCTAACCGGCCACTCCCACCTGCAGGCTCTCCTCCCCGTTGTTCTCTCCTGGCCCTGCTTTTCTCCCTGCTCTGCCTCTCTCCTTCCCCTCTGCAGTAGCTCTGTCTGTCTTCCCTCTGCCTCTCCCACAGCCCCTCTCTGGCGCTCCTGCCTCTCCTCTCTCTTTTCTTAACCTTGTTTTCTACCCTTTGGCCCCCACCTTTATCCTACATTCCCACCATTTCACCCCTCTTATTCTCTCTTCTCCCTGCCTTCCCCGTTCCAGCTCCTCTAACCACCAAATTTTAACTCTCTCTCTCTCTCTTCCTCCTCTCCCTCTCCCTCTCCCTCTCCCTCTCCCTCTCCCTCTCTCTCATTCTCCCTCTACCTCATTCTCACCCTTTTCTATTGGGGGTCTTGAACCCTCGGTGATTCTCTCTCCAACCAGGGGAGAGGCTGGACTCTCCATGTGGGGTTTCCTGCCCCCAAACCTGGGACACAGAAATGTTTATTTCCATCCTCTCTCTCCCTTTCCCCGGGCCTCCACCCATTCCTCAAACCCCAGCCTTTCTCTTTGGCTTGTGCCCGTTGGTCAGGTGGCCTTTCACCCATCCAACTGGCTCTGTGTGGGGCCAGCACTCAGAGCTCAGATGGAATGTCTAAGGAAGGGTTGGTTTGGGGGGGGGGGGGAGGACTGGGTGTGTGTGAAAGCCTCAAGCTCCTTCCCTCCTTCCCTCCTTCCCTCCTTCCTTTGAGCTGGGGTCACCTCTGTGGCTGTTGCTAGCTCTCCCTGCAGGAGGTCTGAGCTTTGCCTCCCTCCTCTGCACTGGAATTGGTGTGGGTGGGATGCAGGCCCTCCAGCGCCTGTGCCTTTAAGAAAGCACCTGCTTCAGGCACCATTGGCTCCTCTCTCTCTCTCTCTCTCTCTCTCTCTCTCTCTCTCTCTCTCTCTCTCTCTCTTCTTCCCCCTCCCTCCCTCCCTCGGCAGCTGGAGGAGGGGAGCAGAGCTGGAGATGGGGGGGAGTGTGGAGGGGGAGCCCCTCCAGGGGGGCCCATAAATAATGGCTGATCTGCCTGCAGGGACGGGAACTGCTCTGCTCTGGCTCTAAGAGCCTGGGAGGAGGGAGAAAAGGCTGATTCTGTCTCCTCCGGAGCTCTTGCCAGCGAGATAGTACACCTCCTTTCCTTCCTCCCCCATTTCCCCCTCCCGGAACCTGGGGGAAGGAAGCTGGGTGAGGATGAGGAAAGAGTTCCAGTCTCCTGCTTCCCCTGAGGTTTTCCATCCTCCTGGCCTGTCCTGCACCCACACGTGCTCACTGAGCAGCTACTACAAGCTGCTGGCTGAGAGCAGCCATCACGCCCACCCTCCTCCAGATGGCGGTCACTGTCACCCACAGAGCAGGAGCCTGGTCAGAGCCTCCCCCCGCGCCCCAAGGGTCAGGGCTGTGGACTCAGACGTCATTGTTGTGAAAGCAAATCCAGTTGCCTATGCTGCTTGCAGTGCTTTCCCAAACCTCTCTCACACCCCCAGATCCAGTCTCTCCAGCTGTGCGGGGGCTTCCGAAGTCTCCCCGCTTCCCGGGACTCCCGCCTCTGGGAACCCCACCCCCCACCCCACAGTCTCGCCTGCTCACAGCTCACAGTACAGGCTGAGACTGGTTCAGCTCAGCTGGTCTGACCTTTCTGACTTGGTTCTGCATCAGTGCTTCAACCTCCTGGGCCTGGCAGGCTGGGCCCGGCATGGAGCAGGTTTCTCCCCTGGCCTTGGGGCTGCACCATCTCACTGGACCACCACCCCATCCTCACTCAGCCAGGCCATCACCAAACCCACGGCCACCTCCTGAGGGACAACCCCCCCCTCACGTCCCCACCGCCACCACCATCACCATTATGGGGAAGCACCATCCAACCCGTCCACCTAAGGCCGCCTTCAGTGCTGCCAGCGGGTCATGTCATGCCAGGCTTGGCTCCCAGCAAGGACGTGGGAAGGCGAGCAGGGGTCTGGAGAGGACAGCTGTCTCAGCTCCAATAATCACAGACAATAGCCACAAGCTTCCCAAAGGCGGTCAGGCCCAGGGCCTCGCCCGGGGCCCCCTCTGTCATCACCCCACGCTTCCCCACCAAGCTGTCCCTGTCCCTGCAGGGCTGCTGAGAGTCACTGCCCTTCCCAGCAACGCTGGACTGCCCCCCTGGCTCCTGCCCACCTGCTGTTTCTCTCTCTCTGAAACTTCCCTGTGCGGCTTCGCATTTTCTCATGTCTTCATCCCTCTCCCCCTCAGACTGATGCTGCCTCCTCTCTCTCCCCCTCCTCTCTCCCTCCCATGTTCCTTCCTGCTTCCAAACCTCGCTCTCCTCCATCCCTCCCCACTCCCCCAAATCCAC